CGCGGGCCTTGCTTCTGGATTGTAGTGGCCTGCGCCTTCTAAGATGCAGCCGCCTCCTGAGAGGCCTTCCCCATCCCCCATAACCCCCCTCTGCGCGCCGCCAGAACGGCCTCGGGCAGCGAGGGAGCGCCCTCCCAGACGAGGCGGCCGGGGAGATCTGCAGAGGTTCGCTGGACATCGGCACTCGAGCGTGCCAGTGCAGCCCGACGTGGCTTCGCGAGTCGACGCTCGCGTCGCCGGATGCTCGGGTCGGGCGAAAGGGGGGGGTTGGGTTTGGGAAAGGGGGGGGTACGAAATCTGCTGCATGCAGCTGGTTTCGGCCCCGCCGCCGGGCCCACTCCTCGATACATGGGCGCCTCCCGGCGCCAGGAGGCGCTGGTAAAATCAGCTACGTGAGCTGATTCTCAACCCCCCCTCTGCTATCCCCCCCTTTCGCCCGGCCCGAGATGCACTCCGCTGCTTCTCTCTGCGTCGAGTGGCTGCCCCGCCCAGGCCCCCTCGGCACGCGGCTCCGTGCGCGAGCGGCGTGGCCCGCCACAGCTCTCGCCAGAGGGCGGTCTCTCCGCGAGAGCGGGCGCTCTCCACCCTCTGCAGGGGGGCTTGGCATCGCTCGGACTGCATTTTTCTTTCGGCGAGGACCATCGAGGAGCATCCTTGATCATTTGGCGAAAAAAACCACGCACGAAACCGACAAAAAAACACAGGGAGCGGACGTCCGAGCGATGGCCAGGGGGGATGTTCAGAAGTCATCGAAAAGAGCCACATGCGGACGATTTTGACAAGTTTGGGGCATTCTTTATGTAACAGTTCTTGACTGTCTTCAATACTTCAGGAGGGAAAGAAACACACAGACACAATTAATCGTCGACCCCCAGGAAAATATGCAAAAATATGGGAAGTGGTGGGGAAGACAAAAACCCAGAAAATATGGGAAAATATAGGGGATATTTTGATTTGTGTGTATTTATTTGTGTGTTCCAGTTCCCCTTCAATACTGTTCCTCCGGAGTCCGCCTGCAGAGGGGCACGCCCGGCTCAACGCTCGTCGACGGCCGGAGCCTGCTGCACGGCCCGGCGCCCCCCCCCCCCGTGGGGGTGGGGGGCCTCGCGGATCTACGGCGCCGCGCCCGTGAGCGAGATGCCGGACCCGTGGCGGGAGTGGCGGGCCCAGAAGCGCGGGGACGCCCCGCCGAGCGGCGTGGACCCGTGGGCGGACTGCCGGGCGCAAAGCACAGAACCATACGGGAGCACGGCTGCGGCCAGGACGCTGAAGTGAGGGGCATGTTCAGAGAGGGGAAGGGACACACATGCACGATGAGTCGCCGACTCCCAGGAAAACATGAGACAATGTGGGAAGTGGGGGGAAGACGAAAACCCTTAACATGTGTGCCCTCGCAGCCCCCCCCTCCCCCTCCCAATGCAGTAGATCTTGGTTGTTTTGGGCACATATTCAGGGGGGGAAGAGACCAGGAGCGAAAGAAGGACGTACACGTACATGAATCCACGCTGGTTTCGAGAGTTCGCGTTGCGCGAGTGTTCGTGTCACGCGGGCGGTCTCGCGTTTCAAGGGACCGCGTTCATGTACATGGCTGGGCGCGTACGTCCTTGTGGGCCCCCAAAAAGACGCACAGACGCGATGAATCGCCGACTCCTAGGAAAATCTGAGACAATGTGGGAAGTGTGGGGGGGAAGACGAACACCCTTAACATGTGTTAAAATGTGGGGAGTCCTGGGATTTGTGTCTATGTATTTGTGTGTGTGTGTGTGTGTCCCTGGGCCCCTAGACATGTGGGATTCGGAAGGGGCTCGATGTTCCGTAGATGATCGTTCTCTTCTTCACTGTTTTGCCGATCGGCGCGGGCCCTCGCAGCCACCCCCCCTCCCCCTCCCAATGCAGTAGATCTTGGTTCTTTTGGGCACATGTTTCAGGCAGGTGGAATCTCCACCACCACACAATGATAAGAATTTGGGGTTCGGAAGTCGAAGAAGAAACAACCGCCATAAACATAAACTAATGGCTCTCCGCGCGTATTTCTTGGATCCCCGCTGGGGCCCCCTGGCGCGCTCCTCGCGCCAAGGAGGGGATTCGAGTCCAGATCCAAAAAATCCGCGCGGATCTCCACAAGTTTATGTTTATGTCGGTCTTTCTTCTTCTGAAGGGGCTCGATGCTCCGTAGGTCCTTCTGGCTGTTTCTCGAGTGCACCTACTTCACGCAGGCGCGTTTGGAGACAAGAAGAGGCTGCGTTCCTTATCTAGCGTTCGTTATGCTAGCAGCTTCACTGTAGGTCGATTTTTTCGGGAGGGCCCTTTAAAGAATATCGAAGAACAAAAGACGGCATCAACATGAACTTTCGGAGCTCCGCGCGAATTTCTCGGATCGGCGCTGGAACCTTCTGGCGGCGCATCCGGCGTTGCCTCTTGCGCGTTCCGCGTGCCAGGCAGAGGGGTTCAGCGCAGATCCAAGGAATCCGCGTGGATCTCCGAGAGTTCATGGTTTCGAAATGTTTGATTGCTCCAGCCAAGTCGATGTTTCGGGAGGGCCCCTTGGGGAAGGACGCACCGACCTCGATATGCACAGTTTGGTTGTGGTTGTGGTCGATCTGGCCGTCCTGGGACGCCACCTCGACCACGGGCAGCACCAAGCCGGCCTAGGTGCTCCGACGATTGGTGGCATGCGCAGGACATTTCCCAGGGTGTGCCCTCGACGTGTCCCCCGCAGGACTTCGGCATCTACCCGAAGCCGAAGCCGAAGCCCAGGTAGACCTGGCCGCCTCGGCTCCCAGACTGCGATGCGGTGCTGGCGCTCCTCGTCCTCCTCCTCCTCCTCCTCCTCCTCCGATCGAAATGGGTACGGAAAGAATGAGTGCAGTGGAACTCCATGCAGAGAAACACCCTGCTTGCCTCCAGGGTGCCCCGGGTTTCTTGGCTTTTGGTTCGGCTGTGGAGATCGTGATTTTCCCACAGCAAAAATCGATGGGCGTCCTGGGGTCCCAGGGTTGGGTTTCTTGTGGAAGGAGCTCCAACTGCACGAAGACAGACGACAGTCCTTGTTCCTGTGAACAGGACTCGCCGTCTGCGTCGCCGCAGACGATGCCCATTTGAGACCGAAGGCCGCCTGCCCAACAGCGGCCGCTGCCGATTTTGGACAACATGTGCTGGCGGGTATCGCACCCATGCTTTCTGTACCTCGGGTGGCATCGCCAGGAAGGACAGGGATCTAGAGGGAAGCGGGCCCTGTCGTTCTCAGTGCTATGGCCTCCTAGGGCCGTCCTCGGGTCCCGGGGCTGTCGGAGAACGACTTTGGACCAGAAGTTGGTCTTGGGGGAAGGCCCAGGAGTCCAAGACCCGTTTCCCTCAGGACCCGTTTCTTTCATGCCAATTAATAGTTATTTCTTCCTCTCTCCTCCGAGCCTTCGAGGTGCGGATCGGTTCGTCGGAAGGACCGAGTCCATCGATGGCCCCCCAAGGGTGCCCCAGGGCCTCCCGGGCGGTTGGGCAGCAAGAGGGCGGCTGCACGGTGCGCGGTTCCTGCGCGGAGCACGAGGGGAAGGGAGGGGGACGGCAGAGAGGCAGATGCTGACTCCCTCCCCCCTCCCCCTCCTCCTCTTCGGCCGAGGCACTTCATCGGGCCGTCGTTGCTGCTCTAGTCTGCTTTTTCTTTCTAGTTGGGGGGGCCTCAGGCCTCAGTCGTGGCTCTGTAGGCCGAGGCCCTTCATCGGACCGTTGTTGCTGCTCTGGTCCGTTTCTTCCTTTTAGCTGGAGCCCTCCGTCGTGGTTTTCTAGGCTCGTGGAGGACGATCCATGGAGAGGAAGCATGTTGCCAAATAATTTCCAGATGTCTAAAACATGTGTTAGACATGTTTTAAACATGCACAGAGCATGGCTAAAACATGTTTCCGACATTTTAAACACATTGTAAATCCAATGATAGGACTGTTGGGGTGCCCATTGTCGTGGCATCCACGATTCTAGGCCGCAGCACTTCATCGAACCATTGGTGCTGCTCTGCTCTGCTTCTCCTTATCCAACGTATCATTACGCATTCCCCGATCAACGCGTGCACTTAAGAGGTCCTCGCATATGTTGCGAGGGTTCGGCGAACAGGCCCATCCGACATCGGCAGGCAGCCGGGGCTGCCGGTTCCTGGTGTCTTGGGTTCCAGGGCGTTATAAGGATTCGGCGAAAGTGTGTTACCGATTTCGTTGGGCAGTCGGACTCCTAGGTTCCAGTTGCCCGCCGATTCTGGCGGGCTTCCAGACGCCAGGATCATTGGATTGATAAGAATATGTCACGTATAGTGCACTGCTGAGGTCACCGAGGCCCCCCACAACTAATGAATCATCATCATCATCATCATCATCATCATCATCATCATCATCATCATCATCATCATCATCATCATCGTCATCATCATCATCATCATCATCATCATCATCATCATATTCTTCAACATCATCATCTTCATCATCATCATCCTCATCATCATCATCAGCAGCTGCTGCTGCAGCATCATCAGCGGCAACATCATCATCATCATCAACGTCCTCGTCACGGCCACCACCACCATCATCATCACCACCATCAACCGCAGCATCACCATCCTCTTCATCATCCTCATCCACATCGTCATAGTCATCGTCATCATCCTCCTCCTTCTCCTCATCGTCATCTTCTTCATGTGCATCATCATCGGCAGCAGCAACAGCATCAGCACCAGCATCAGCATCAGCATCAGCAGCATCAGCAGCCAGCAGCCAGCAGCCAGCATCAGCATCAGCATCAGCATCAGCATTCTACTCAGCGCCTCGGTACAAGTCGGAATGAGGGTCGCCCCCCGTGCATGCACAGAGAGCCTCGGAGCGGCCCCTCGTCGCAGCCTTACGCACGCTGAATCCTCCACAGCCTCACCATCCCGTTTCCTCCACCTCCGCCTCCCGTTCATCCCCCTCGCCGCCCTCCCGTTGTGCCTGCCCCAGGCTCTCTATCCCCTCTCCACCGCGAAGCAGTTCCTTGGGCTCGGGCCAGCGGGCGCGCGGCCCGCGCGGGGCGCTTCTCGACGGGCAAGGGGGGGCGGCCCGGTCCCCGGCAGGGGCCCGAGCCGCCCCCGCGCACCCCGCGCCATCTGTGCCGCGAAGGGGCGCGCCGCACGCGGCGATGAGCTTCATCGAGGTGGGCACGCAGTGCCGACTCAAGGACTACGCGGCGGACCCTTCGATGAACGGGCGGCACTGCGTGGTCGCGGACGTCCCGAGGAAGAGAGAGTGTCGTAAGCAGAAATTTGCGGAGCTCCGCGCGGAGTTCTCGGATCGGCGCTGGCGCCCCCTGGCGGCGCCTCCGGCGCCGCCCCCGGCGCGCTCCGCGCGCCGGCGAGGGCGGTTCAGCGCAAATGCAGGAAATCCGTGCGGACCTCCAAAAGATTGTGTTTATGCAGATTTCCCTTGCTCGACACATCGTCCTCGGAGTGGCGGGCGAGACGGTCATCGCCCGCTTCGCCTGCGGCAAGGAGCTGGACGGCCTCTACCCGAACGACCACCTCGAGGTCATACGGAAGGGCAGAGAGAGG